CCTATGTTGTTCTCCTGACTTTTACCCGAAACTCTTCTATTTTGGAAATCGCGACAGTGGAGCAGCACATCCGCTTTGTTTCTGTACTCTGTTACTAGTCGCCATCGTCTCTTTACACGAAATTTGAGTCGTACAAATGTCAAATCGTACAATATATTATAATATAACCCTGCCGCTGTATATATATAAGCATTAAGCTTGTATACAACATCTTAAACGCTTCGTCTATAATCTATATAAACGCCGATGATCTTCTCCAAAGTCAATAGATAAAATAGTAAATACGATAAGTCGATAATACTCGTTTGTTCGTGTACCTATATACTATAATACTATATAATAATATTGTTTCGAAAATAGATCTCGAATTTATGACTCTGGGTCGAAATCTTCGGCGTAAAACACAAATCATAATACATATCCAAAATTCCAAACCTATATTATGTTTAGTAATATTAAACTGTATATTATAAGTATACGACGATAAAATATGTGCTATATATGAACCGCGGAGATTACGAAACTTCCAAGACCCGCGCAAGTTAGGTATATTATTATTATCATGTTGTATTTGGACGACCGACAACCCCGCTTGCAGAGATCGGCAACTATCGCTTAAAACAACTATATACTTGGGTATAAGCACTATACATTATATACGTATCTTCAACTTACTGATAAGTTGTTTGGCGTTTATCTTTCGAGAATGTAACGAGCGCGTCCTGAAAACCGTAATATATTAGTGCACACTCGTCGTCGTACGTATGTTAACATTGCGGGTGTTTGTGAAAACTTCGTCGTAAGTCGTCTGCAGATACGAGATGATAATAACATATACATACACACCTATATAATATATATTATATGTTTTAACGCGTTATTTTATACACGGTGTACTAAGATTTAATTTACACGATTTACAGCGATCACATGTTATATGATGTGCATTTATCCGTTCATGCTTGTGTTATTATAAACGCCGCGTGCGTGTATAATATATATGGTAAATATTCGTGCTTTATAGTAGGTATTGCTATATCATATACCTATACACATGATGGTACGTGGTCAGTGGTCACGTTTAGATCGATGTCCGCCGACGATTTATCAATCGCCGATTAGATAACCGCAGGTTCCTGTAGTTGCGAATTTCTACATTTGAGTACCTATATATTATAGTAGGTATGTATAGGTGCAAGGTGCCTACCGTTGAAATACCTTAAAAGTTATTACTGCACCCGACGCCCAACGGCACTGACAATACGCATAATTTTATGTTATATACGCGCCGTTCTTCGACATGATCGTGTTATAATACATATAGATCGTTGAGTAATAAAAGGCATTGTGCTCTATTGTAGGATCGACTACTGGTCGGCCAATTATAATACAATATTATGTATAAAATTGTGTAATAACGCGCGATGATTTCGGACGAAAATAATATAATATTATTGCAGCATTTTTGCAGATTTCGAACTACCGAAAACGAATTTATATAGTGTACGTTTTTTCGTTTTCGGCATACATATACCTATATGGCTATATCTAATGGAGTTCGTGTTACCGGCAATCGATATTTTTAACAACGTTATAAGTATGCTTTTACAGTATAGGTATGTACTCTTCTGTATAACGTAATACGCGCCTGTGGCCAAATTATTGCCAATTCGCTAAATAATATATTCGATTGCAGTTTACCGCGTTCCGATCAAAATATTTCTACGTGATCGGCGGCATTATTGATCGACGCCGTACACGCGCTCTCGAAATAATGACCAAGGTATAAACCCCTGAATTCTTGGTAATTAGTTTCAGCAAGAAATTTCAATTTTCGCAATGACCTATTCTAATAAAAAACCGTTACCACGATCGTATTATAGTGAAAAAAAAACGATAAAAATCAAACCGGATTTAATATAAAAATACATTTTTTTTCACCCGGTGTATGATGGGATACCTCAGTACAGCGGATGTTAAACTATGACAAATACATCAATCAACGTGGGTAAAATTTTCGATGAAATATATTATCACGTGAGCGCAGACGGCAATTGAATAATTTGTCGATCGTAAATTGGTAAATTGTAATAATGTTTATTATAATTAATTATAATGTACCTATGCATTATGTTTACGATGTGCATATTATATGATGTATTTATCAACTATATTTACTTTAATAATATACATAGGCATATAGCTAGGTATCATAAGTGGAAATCATGGAAGAAAGAGGCTAAGTTTTCTTAAATAACTATACCAAGCATCATCCCCAAAGTGGTTTTGTACTAAAGTCTCATCCCGGAAAAGGCGTTCAATAGAATTTCAAAAATTAACCAAATTTTTGGTCTTATACAAATACTATGTTTGGTTATTGGTAAGACTTAATTGTAATTTATATACTATTATGTTTCATGTATTATTGTTTATTTCAAAAAAATTAATATTTATGATGAAGGATGCAAAAATGTAAAAAAAACTTTTATGAAGTTAAGAGGTTTTATAGGGGCTGTTATATAAATGTGTTTGTCCAATTAATTTAAATCAATGGTAATATTATATTATATAAATCATGAACTACTACACAGGACTGGACACTACAGAGAAAATCACGGACACAAAGTTGTACAGGGTTCGTACACATGCGATGTAACTGCACTCTGCCTGTTAGTAGTACGAACTACGTTTTTTATAGGATAACACTAAAGAATAGTGATATTAGTGATAATAACTGATAATAAATTTACTTTTTAATTTTTGAAAAACAATTATTAATAACACAGTTCAAGATAATAATGATACTATTTATAGAATATTATCAGAAAATAATTACTGCTTAAAGAGTGAACAGTTTAAGCATGAACTACTAAGGCGGTATTTTATATAACAAAATATTTCTTATCTCACAGATGGCGCTGTGTCGCATGTGTACCGAATATGTACAACTTTGTGGACGACCCCCTACTCTCCTCCTGCCAATAGTGTCCAGTCCTGTGTAGTAGTTCATGATATAAATATTATAGACCTAACCTAACCTAATATATTATAACCTAACCTAACCTAACCTAACCTAACCTAACCTAACCTAACCTAACCTAATATATTATATTAAGTGAAAAAAATATTTTTTCTCCTTTCTGTTTAGTCGAAGTTTCGCTATAGTACCGTTCCGATGATAAGTGTATCGCTCTCTTATATAGTCGTGTATTATATTGTATATATTATACGCTCCATAAACCACCTAACCGGCTACCAGCCATCTATATTATACGTCACAATATTTTTATTGCAGACTACAGTTTAGTGACGATCAATGAAGGATCGGCAGACGCGTCTCGTTCGACGTATATTTATATTATAAACAAACCAGAGCGGTATTGTCGGTCGCCGAGGAGGAGAGGTGTGTGTCTACACCGTCATGTTTTATGTATAATGTATAAATGTGCATTGTATATATGGGTCTTATAGACTAAACCTCCGGTTCGTGATATATAGTATGACATATTAACGTATCATGTGAACGGTTCTGGCCCAAGAGGGTTGCGAGTCTCGTACGGATATTATATTATATACACGAACGGTAATGCAACGATTATTATTTATTTTTATTTTTTCTTCTCTCCGGGCCAGTCACGAGCCAGATGTTGATCACCTGCCTCCGGTCCGGCTACCATACATTATTATATATACACTAAAATATGCATTTATGATATATGTATATATATATACTTATATATTAAATTTAATAGATATGTGTGTGTGTGTGTATACTTCGAAATAAAACTGCTGTAGCACACTAGCAGGTCTTGTCTCTTTACCGTCACCCGTCGTCGTGTTTTATATTAGCAGTTGGCAGACGGAATTCGTCTAAAAGGGCTCTCTGCGGTATTTCGGCTAATCATTTGAGTTGCCTACTTAAAATTCTACATCCACGAGTCATTTGTTTTTGTAACGAGTGGGGGGAGGGGGGTAATTATTAGATCAATATGTGAAACAAATATCAGATCACACGAATACCTATAATACCCGAACGCGAGACAACTGATTTACAAATGAAATTCAAGATTTCCAATCTTATGAATTCCAAATTTATGAAAAAAAAACGAGAAACCACATAATATAATAATATTATACTCCGCAGACCACATCTCTCATTCCCCGCGGGCTATTTTCTCTATTTTGATATAATCGAATTATCGCACGTAATATCATATTATTACAGCGTGAAGACCGTGGCAAAACGATAGCGGTCACTATTACGAATGCGAGCATATATAGGTACGCGATTGTCGAATCCACCGCACACCGAATCGAATAATAATGTGGATATAGGTTACTTATAGTTATACCCATATAAATTATATACCTAATAAACGAAATATCGGATTTTCGGTGTTCCGATTCACGTTGTACCTATATCACAAATTCGATGTACAAATTTCATAAAATATTTTATCGTAGCATGGTTAGGCAGTTTTGACATTTCGCCCGGCGATCGGTTTGCAGTAGTCTCGTATTCTCGGTATTTTAACTGAAATAAACCACTTGTAATGTGATTATATACATACGCGGTGGCAGAGGCGAACGTCGAATCGATGCGATTTATAGGCAAAATGCATGTGTATATTCCGGTCAAGGAGATTACGAAAGCTCACCTCGGGGGGCAGGTTTCTTCTCGGAGACATGCTTCGCGAGAATTTCGGACATTGCCACCGCTTTAATAACACTACATAACAATTTATAATGCCTAATTATAATATACCGTCATCGATAATATCCATGAGCCCAATTTCATAACACATTTACCAGATATATGGTATGTGCCATGTGATATGGGTGCCGCCGTGCCTATCGGTTATATGAGTTTTTTTTAATATCATTACACAATATTATATTCATCTTTTATTCTTACCGTTATTATAATATATTTTTTATTATTATCGATTTGTTTTTCGATGGAGCTATTATTAAATTATTGTTTTCTATTTTATAGGACCATGCGAATGTTTAGACAAACAAACGTTGCGGAGAAAAATGGCAAACCGTTGGTAACACCGGACATGGACGGTCGTTTCTACCAAACGGTTACCGCCGTACCGGCGATCGTTCTCGAAGAGAGCCCCAAATCGGCCGAAGTCAAAAGAAGTATGTATATAGTGTATACATATTATATAATATAACTAGATAGTAGATACAAATATATTTAAGTATATAGGTGTATAGGCGAAAAAGTGTTTACTCATTTTTGTTTTGGCTCGTACCTATATAATATAGGAACATGTACATTAGTATTATTGTGAATTTACATTCACAGTAATAGTAAATCTTGAACGATCTCCATATCGAAGGTCTTCTAGGCTATATCCATTAAAAGTATATATAATTATCTATACGCGATTTTAACTATAAATTAGATGTTAATAAACTGCAAATTACCGAACAACACAGGTGTGTTGTGTTTATTTATTTATTTTTTTTATCCATATTCAACGTTTCGACATAGCAATTACTTTTCGTCACTGCATTATTACCGTCACTTCTCATTTTTACGTGCAAAAATATTATAGGCGGTCGGTCGTGTAGGTATAATATACTGTAATTTAACCACACGCCGTACGCCGAGGTTATTTATGATATTGATTTTTATTAGGTATTTTAATTTTGAATTCTGCAACATTAATAATACGTACCACAAAATACGATAGATGAATTAAATTTAAAAAGAATATTGATTTTCGAAGAGATATAAAATTACAATAGCAATAAATATGTCAAAACAAGACGGTACCTAAGTCAGCGATGTAAAATGTTTTCGTTAACTCAAAATAAAATGTAGTGCACACACAATCCGCTATATCTTCCCTATATATAATATTGTAGCTACACAACAATTTGTTGTTTATATTATTTGTAACAATGACCGTGGTTTGAACGCTAAACAGGGGACGTCAAACACGTTTAGAATACATTCACTGGTCACAATATTATATGGGCTTGGCAAGCTCCCCGTGCGGTTGACACATACTACACGTACACTACACGAATTTGGCATAAACCTTTATAGGTTAAGATTCTCTATAAACCTTTTTAAGCATATACAAGTTATATACATTTTTTAGTACAGCTGGTACCTATACACGTTGTCCAAATATATTTTAAAAGTGCGCCTGTGCATAAAGATATACAATATGTACATTGTAGGTATTATAATGTTATAGAGGTATATGGGATATCGGGGGATAACGAATGGTCGAAAATTTAACATATTTATAGGCATTTAAATTTACAATTTAACCTAATCGTTAAAATATTCGTAAATATATATTATATATTTATATGTGTAAGTGTGTGTGCGTGTATGTGTGTGTGTTTTACGTGTTTATTTTATATGTACACTACATATCATTCAAATACCATCGGTTACAATGTCCTCCGAGCATTCCGGTTTTGTGTGTAGATTTTTAAGTGAAATATACCAGTGTATTACATTATTTTACACTACTATTATACGTCTGCGTCGCATAGTGCAGCGTATAATAATATTATATTATGGAGTGGTGTGGTATGGTGTGGTGTGGTGTAATGTAGTGGGTAGCGGCGTGAAAAGAAATGTAAATAAACAAATAAGTAACAAGCGCTGAGGTGATCGGTTTTTTTTTTCGTTATTTGACGTGGTTTTCGTCGTATCTCACTGGAAGCAGCCGCACTATGTCCGACTATAATAATATTGTGTACACATACATATACATATGTGTGTGTGTGTGTGTGTGCGTGTGCGTGTGCGCGCGAGTTTAAATGCCATTAGACTGTAGATCTCTAAAACACGATTCTTGACCATTAAACATTTTTTATGGCTTCGGTTACTGGTATTACATGGTTTGTAGTGCTGTGGCTGGACGCAAAAAAAAAAATGGCAATAATAAAACGAAAGAAAGAAAGAAAGAATATATCATATACCTACATATATAATACGATGGCTACGACGGTAGTAGGTACCTAGTGTATGTGTGTGTGTGTTATATATATAGCGGTGTATATATCTTGTTATAAATATATATACACACACACCTATGTATAAACAAGGTATAGAGACACACCAGGCAGCACGCCACGTAACTCACGTTTTACATTATACGCACACGTTCTAATTACTACTACTGCAATGCCGTTTAATTGCTGTAGATCAATATTATGCATGTGAACACCGCACACGTAATCGTATATATATGTAATATACAACATGTGTATATATTAGTTTCGGAGGGAATACACACGAGTCTGGCAAGTGGCAGACTTCAGACGTCTGCTTCAGAGAACGAGAAAGAGAGAGAAAAGATGGACTATATTGTTATGTATATAATATTGTGTATAAAGAGATAACTCGTTAAAAACGCTTGCAGTCAATATATAACATGCTTGTTGCATTGTATTTTTTTTTTTTACTCAAACGTTTTACATAATATTTATCGTAATATTTAACAACATTTCAAAATGCCTTGTGTAAACATCCTTCATCGCTTTCGATAGCATTTTTAACATACCTAACGGCGAACACTATAATATTATAATGAGTCTGTCTCATGTCTGTCTGGTGATTTACATTTTGCCGGTTGTGACATGACGTCGTGTACGTTTCGCGTCTAAAATGTAGTCTGATGTACATTTTTAGTTTCGTGTACGCCCTGCTGGTATCCGCATAGGTATCTAATGGCTAATACCAGCTATAATACACTTCTGGATAATTCCTGTGAGTAATATATAATTTTTGATCACAAGTCGGTTATCTGATTTCGGAACGATTAATGAAATAAACAAGCCCGAAGAGCGAACGAGTGCCGATAAAAATTACACAACTCAAGTGTCAAATATAAGAGTGAGCCACGGCGAGCCCTGTAATTAATTTCCTATATTTACTTGATTATGTCGTTTCACAATCTCGGCGTTCGATCGTTACACGTTTGATAACCATATGTGGTATAAAGCTCCACCTGAAACGCATGCACCTCTATAACACACAGTCAACCGCCTTTCAAATTAATATAAACATGTTTTTCCTTCACCTCTCTCTAATTACTTATTCAAAAGTGCAGTAACATCTTAATACGAAAACCGTAAGAATTTGTCAATATTACTATATTTACATCGAATTATTTGATAATTATATACAGAAATAGACACGTAGTTTTTTCTGACCATATATAAACATAGTATATAATAAGAACATGCAAATTATTATGTTATAATGTTCAAGCCGCTATTAAAATATTAAAACACATTATTCTACACGACTGACTGGAAAACTGAAGAACCTGATTTTGTTTGAACATTCTGATCCAACGCAATCCTGATTAAAAGTTATATTACATATTATGTTTGTACGCACATATATATAATATATGTGTATATATATATGTTATAATTTATAATATAATATAAGATATTTGTGTTTCAGTATTTGTACATTTGAGTAGTGTAGTTCGTAATTCGTATAACTTGACGACGGGTCACATTGTTGTATTTGATCGATATCCAGGCGAGACGGAAAAACAGTTATAAACAATTTTTAAACTTATATTTACATATTTTTTTCTGAGTGACGGTTTGAAAACAAGTTGTATGCGTACTTTAAAACACTTAGAGATTCGGTTCCACATATAATATAATATGTATAATATATTCTTGTTATTATTAGTTATTGCAACCCTGAACCCGAGGTCGTGTTGAAAATCGACCATCCTTAAATATAGTCGCTATTTTTCTTTAATATATTATATATTACATATTGTACCACCTACTATGTTTGTTTTTTTTTTTTTTTATAATCCTCCGAGTATTGACCTATTCGCTCGACAATTGTTAGTTATGACTTTCATGGCCATTAATCCCCTATATTAAATTATAATAAATGTCGTGTCGTGTCATGTTTGTGTCAAATAAATATTTCAAGAATATATGTGTTACTAGACAAAATAAAATGCTATATATTTCTGATAATGATAAAAAATAATTTGTATAAATTAATTTTATCAATTTTATGCAAATATTAATGATTCATTTATCTCATTTGATTTTAATCATATCGTTTTACGCATACGTTGTACGTCGTCGTCATTTAATTAGGTATATGTGATTTGATTATATGATACACATTCTAAACACGTATCATTAAGCTTTGTGCAAACATGTTAATATAATATTATAATAATTAAAATAACATTGATAAGTATACATTTAGAATATTTTAGATATAACATATCGGTTTAATTAGTGCGATTTGTAAAATGTCATAGTTTCATGTCATAGTAAAATGCGTTTATTAACTGCATCATATTATACATTTATTATTAAAGTTGAGAACACAAATACTAGTAAGAAGCATACATATTATTAGTTTTTAGTTTTTACTGATTCATTTACAAGTTATGAGTGAATATTATGTAGGTATATTATATAGCTATAGCTGATGAATAATACGCTTTTAAATTCGTTTTGAATTCTCGACCGATTCTATACATCGTGCATTTAAGATTGATACTATTCAATTAAAACACTGGAGTCTGGTACAATAAACATGTGCACCTACTCATACATGATACCTATCCGCGTGCCATTATAATAAGTTATAAATAATAACTATAATGCTAACACTTTTGAATAATCAAAATCGTGCAGCACTGTAAAAAAGAACCCCACCTTTTTTGTCGTAATAAAAAATTTGGTCCGCAATATGTACTTATATATTATATTATGTTCACAAAATATACGACCACCGAAACTAGTTTTACGACGACTGCAGTCGTAGACAACGTTGTGCTTGAAAAATTTTACTCTAAAGAAACAAACCGTGTGATCAAACGGACTCATGTACGCGTTTTCGCGAATATGATAATATATGTATTTGCTGCAGCATTTCGATTAAAAATCGTATCACAATATTCGCAACAATAAAATAATTAATTCAAAACGTCCTTAATATACCTGAAGTCGGTGTCTATAAATAAATCACGGTAATTTAAATAAAAATCTTCGCCCGGGGGCAAAACGTTAACCCTTTTATTATATATATCAGTGGCGGTAGCTGCACGCCGCGAGTATATGTATATAATATACACTCGCGGTCTGAAAGAAACACACTGCACAATAACGTCGTCTCGTTCCAACGACCTTGGGACACGGCGGTAATGAAATTTTGGACGTACCGTAAACCGGACAACCTTGAGTGGTACTCGAGTGGTTGATCTAAGTGGGAGCGGCGGACGCGAGGGAAATCAGAAGACGACTTTAGCAGCAGCGTTATGAAAAAGGAATCTGAGTAAAAAAAAAAAAAAAGGTTTCTTAAGTGCGATTGTTGCCGGTCACGATATCGCTGTACCACATAGATACGCCACTGTGTGCATATACGTAACCTACCTACAACGCGCAATCTTGAGAGGCGATTAGTACGCGTTCGTTAATTGACAGCCCGTAGTAACGCTGTAGGTAGGTATATACAAGAAGGTTGGTAAATACCTATACTAGAAGAAGAATCCGTATACCTATCGTACGTATTTTGTCTTTTCTCTTAAAGTATAGAGTCTATATACTATGGTTTGATAATATTAACAGTCGTTTATCATATTATACATTTAATATGCAGTATGCATTATGCACTCATAGACGGATATTGTGGTGTGGTCATGCCCAGGGGCGAGTGGGGACTTCAGCTGAGGACTTAATCCCCCAAAAAGTTTTGAGTTACTCTCCCTGTTACGACGATTGATTAGGTATCCTTAAAACTGTATATGTAATTGTAGTTATGTTACAAGATTTATAATAAACATAGATATCTAATATACTTGGTTAAATTTATTTTGAAACATTTATCCAGTTCAAACTTAAACTATACGAATATCCCGAAATATTCAAAAAATTAATTTCGTATTTGAATTCTTTGTAATAAGGACTTCAAATGTCGTATTATTCTGTTATATTTTTCTACGCCTAAAAGAGGATATATAATTGCTATACCCAAGTATAAACAACGACCAGAACCCTACATGATTATAACTTATAAGGTTCCTATAATATATTATTTTGTGTACTATATAGTGTGTATAAAATATAATTATAGCAGTATTTACTATTAATACTTCACTAAAGGTATTAGTCTAATATAATATTAATATAGTATATCATTATGACATAATATGACGTGTAATATAAAACATTAATAAAGAGTGTATGTGGTGTCGTGGCAATTCAGTCCTTGGCGAGTGGAGCATGCGAATTTTGTATGTAATATATAATATATAGGTGCACAAAAATTTGGCAGTCAGCCCCACCCCCCGGAAATGTTTCCAAATCTCTGGCAATATAAAATATATTATGCGCATGCGTTAATACATAACAAGAATGTCGTTTTTAGTCAGCCGGAAACCGCGAGCTGCTGATAAACGATGATAATGATATGATAATATTACTATGCCTTGTACATCATATATGTACCTAATAGGTTAATATATATAAATATATATTCGCATTTTGATTTTCTTTTTATCGTTGTACAGAGTTGATCACTTGGGGCAGAAAAATGGGCAAGCGGCTGGAAGGGCTGCGGAGGAGCGAGTCCCGAGATTCTCTGGACAGCCTATCATCCAGGGACAGCTCAACCAAACATCAGCCCGCCGTGTGGCCGCTAGGGCAGCCGTCGTCCGGCGACAAATCGTCATCATCCACCCTGAAGGGCTTTTTCACGCGTATCGGGTCCACCGGCATGCTGAGCTACTCGCGGCTGTACAGCAACAGCTTCCGGGACAAGCTGCAGCACGCCAAATCCAGGAAGCACGCCGAGTGCCAGCTGTACCGGAGCGTGTCCACGTCCCACCTGGCCACATCGTACATGAAGGGCGATGACCCTGCCGACTGTCTGGATCGCGGAGAGCCCCGAACCGCCGCCGACCGTGGTGCCGAGATCGAGTCGCCCACCGAGCCAGGTTACGTGCCGCTGAAGACCAGGAGCTGCGACAATATATCCAAGCTAGGCACCGCCAAGAAGCCAAACTTCCCATACGCGTTCCTTAGGTCCAGGCTGTCAGTGCTCCCCGAAGAGAACGGCGGTGGTGCAGGGGGCGGCAGCAACGCCGTCGGCGGCCACCCGGCGGCCCGATCGGCTGGTCGACAGCGGAACAGCACGGCAGGGTCGGCGCACGAAATAGTGGTCACCGAGGAGCTGTTTAGGGAGATGGACAGCGACAGGGAATACCGGCGCGTGTTCAGCAACATGAGTTCGTCCAACGAGTCGGGATACGATAGTGACGGTCCCGGCAGAACGCCTGACACGTACCACCACCACCATCATCACCATCACCATCACCAAAAGGCAGCCGACGAGGACAGCGGGTTCGGGGACACCAAGTCGCTGGCCACGGACAGTCTTAACGAGTTTGAGGAACACTCGGAGCCGCCGTCCAGGCGCCACAGCGACAAGGACTACAACGTGCCATCCATGTGTCTGTTCTACAAGAAAAATCGTGAGATCAATGATCGCATAAGATCGGACAGACAGTCGTCGAAGGACACGCCCAACTTCCACCGTCGGATGTTCATCAAGAACCGTTCGTCGCCGCCCAGCAGCACCGCCGCCGCCGACCACCTGTCATCGTTGCCGGCCGATCTTAACAACCTGCGATCCCGTATGCAAATGGTCCGATTGCTTAAGTCGCGGTACGAGGACGACATCGGCATTTACTTGAAAATGGTCGTCAAACACGTAGCGAATTACAACGAGACCAGGTTCGTCGTGATGAAGCTAGAACCGGGAAAGATAGCGTACAGGTATGAGAACGCGTCGACGTGAGAATGTCGACTCTGGACATTTTTTACTATATTGTTTTTTATTTGTTTCTTTATCTAGAGACGGAAGGATTAGAGTCAGCGACGAGATAATCAACGTCAACGGCAAATTGTTGCGCGGTATCACTGACATGTACGAGGTAGAGAAAATACTGAATCACAGTTTTTCCATAGCCAACAAGTATTACGTGGACATAGTACTGTCCAGGTCCGAATCGCCAGACTCAGCTGTGATGCCCTTTGACCAGGGTCACGGTGCCGCCGAATCGTCCAAACAAAACGCGATCTCCGTCATCAATCGAGTGCTGGCCAACAAAATGAACAGTCACTCGGCAAAATCCCCGACTCCGAGCATGAGTACCGTATACATGGTTGTAACCTTCTACAAGGGTACTGGTCATAAATCGTTGGGATTCAGCATTGTGGGCGGGTCCGATTCGCCGAAAGGCGAGATGGGAATATTTGTTAAGACCATATTCACAAGTGGCCAGGCCGCGGAAAACGGGTCATTGATGGAAGGTATGTGTGTTACAGAATCATGTGATAAAAATATGACGTCATAATATAAGAAAAGACCGGTAGAATTTAATGAAACGTTTATTTTATTATTATAATTTAAAACAAACCGTTCAGATTTTAATTAAAAAACAAATTGAGAATAATTATGTAATACTATTACTATCATAAAGGCCCGGTTTTTCAAAGTATAATAAATATAATAATAATAACAATAATAATAATAATAATAATAAATAAATAAATACGAAATTATAAGCTGGAGTGCTGGACACATTTCGTATTGAAAACGTTTACCTAGAGTAGTAGTGGTTTTGTAAATTATTATAAAATCTAATAATAACCGATACACGCCGCACTATATTACAGTCATATTATATTATATGATCGAAAATGAAAACGTTAAACACTTCTTATAGAAATGATTATAGAAATTACATTTTTTTACAATATTTACCGATATATCTTCAAATAATAGGATATATAATAGCCAATAGGTTATAAATAAATTCCACAGCCAACGGTCAAAGTTCGTTTAATAATAATATATTATATCGGGTTCAACAAGTGGTAAATCTACCACCGTACTGAGGGGGGGGGGCAGCGAAGCGACTCGTTGAGACTCTATATTAATATGAATGGGTATATATTATATGGTTCAAACACAATATGAAAGAAAACTGTTTCAAAGAATAATAATATAAATAGGTACTATAGGTCAGGTGGGTAGTCAGTGATGGAGCAATGGAGGGAGGGGGAAGAAAGATTATACGAGAGTGAACACGAGGAATTCGAAATCGTGAAAGCACTCGTCAACCCCCCACACAATCCCGAGCACCGTCACGGTTATACAAGGTGTTCCACAAATGTCTGACGGTCTTACGTTGAATTAATACGTATTAGATCTCCGTGATACACCCTCTATACTGCAGTAGTGAGTGAGCTGCAGTGCTCGTGACACATTCCACTTGTGTGATGATGCAAATAGAGTATATTAATTGAAACATATTCGTTTTAGGTTAATTCGGTATGTTTGTTGTTTGTGCAGGTGACGAGATACTTTGTGTGAGACGGCGAATCCGTCATCGGTAATGACGCACGCGCTGGCCATAAGATTGTTTAAAAAAAGTGCGCCAGGGCCCGTTGGAGATAAAAGTATGCCGGAGAGAAAATAATTCCATCAGCCTGTGCCCTAAGTGAGTATGTGAGCACGACGTCCATATAACATTGTTTTGAGTACACGAGTGAAATCCTAATGACAAATATTGTCGTACCGATGTTCGTTTTAATGTGATTTTGCATACAGTAGAACTCTGCGAAGTGCCGCGTGTTATTAATGAAAGAGACGGGGACAGAACATGGACCGAAAGGATATTTTATAAGGGAAACATTATTAGGATGGTTTTTTTGTCACAATTTCCTATATTAGCAAAACTATGTTATTTCCACAAAAAAGATTTAAATATTTACATACCTATATAGCCGTGAAACAAATATTAAAAAATACAACAATGTGTGGATATAGGTAAGCTAATATGGATAAAGGATGGCATCATAAAATGTACATTCTCAATGGGAAAATTTGTTAACACGGTACTGCAGAGCATGTTATACATGAACATGATATATAGGTGTATGCATCATATACATATGTATTAGTGCATGTTTTAAAGCGCCAGAAGACTAGAAGAGCTTAACCCACGAACAAATTATGCATAATATATGGTAGTGTAACACTGAAAATAATTATTTAAATACAAATGCAAGAACAATAAATTATGTGGCATTGTCTAGCGGGAAATTTTTCTAAATAAGTGTCCATGGTTGGGAAAATGTTGGATTTAAAATTTTTTATTATTCTACAGACCATTTCCTCAAACAAAACTGACTAATTATTTTTGTGAAAGGCCTTAAGCTGTTCTGGCACTTTGCGCCTCAATTATTTGTTGTGTGGAGTATATAATTGTAAGTACGTAATGTCTGATGACTAATTCCGTTTTTGTTTTTATTTTTCAGCGGCAATCGCAGTTTCAACAACGGCATGATAACGGTGGCGACGACGACGAACACTACTCAAACCTTTTGAAGACCTAGCTCGTGTTTTTGTTATTATTATAAAAATGTTGTGTACATACCTATATTAAATTTTATATTTATGCTGTCACGACTGTATGTGACAAATTGTAGTCTAATATATTACATTGTACCTTACATACATATTATATATATATGTGTTGTTTTTGATATTTGTACACTTGTACGTATGCTTTTCGTATATTATAATGATGTGTAACCATATTATTCCTAAGATATGTAGGACTTTGTGAGTATGAGTTACAGGTGGCATGAAGTCCCGCCAAATCTGAGAATTTCAGTTGAACGATTTATTGAGTACGGCAATAATATATTACCGCAAGTATCGTAGTAAACTTATTTTGCAGTGTCCTGAGACTAGAAAACAAAAAGCTGATTGAAAAGTTTAAAACGGTATGAGAGTATAAAGCCTTCCTGAACATTTAAAATCCCAAGTCCACTTATGTATGTGTGTGTAATGATTTAAACATAGGTATAGTGTCTCTATAATATGTAATATCGAAAACTTCACTTGAAAATATTATGAAAAAACTTTTATAGTGCCTATCTTAACGTGTGTGAAGTTCCCCAATCGTATCCAATTTATGTCCTATACATTTTGAGTTATATTATCCGGAAAGCACCTACATATTATATAAGTTTCTGCAGTAGGTTAGAAAAATGTTATAAGATGTGTAATCAAGACCTTGTTCTATAATTTACACAAGTTGTAAAGCTAGTGTGATTAGTGATTATTAATAATAATTATGACAGAATGTCGACCAATCTATACCTATACAGTTATAGTATGATACCCACATTCCTCAACCTATTCAACCTTATACTTAAATATGATTTTACTGATTAAACTGCAGAGTCCAAAACATTTTAAAGAATCAGGGAAAATGTTAGGTGGCGCGTGAGTTAATTTTTAATAATTAAATTGTAATACGCATTTATAAGTATGCAATCAATTTTTCTTTTACTAATATGTACTTTAAATAGGTACAAGAACTCACGAGTTAAATAAACCATGATGTATGTTTTTTTTGTATTAATTAATATATAAAAAAAAAAAGTTTTACAAACTAATAACAAACTATCCGCAGCATCTGTGGCCATTGGACGTAACATTACATTTTATAAATATTCATGAATTAGTGGCATTTCATACCTAATATTAAAACTGACATACAAATAATAACATTTTTAGGAAAAAAAAATTGAAATAAAGTTTTAAGTGTTTACAATTTATTTATAAGGAGAGTTTCTGATAGGATCTATTTATGACGTGTGTATTATCAACTATAGATCAATATTTTGTATTAGTGTTGGAAATGTATAAAAAATATATTTAGTTTAAAACTGTAACAATATCGTTCGTAAAAATATGCGCAATGATGAGTAGGTAGTAGTTTAGGTAGATACCTATATGTGGTTATGTAAATGTGTGCATGTAGTAGGACTATTATAGGCCGCATAAGAATTGCCTACTACAGTACTACTTATATTGATTCGTCCATCCCGAAAATGTAATAGATCGCCGTTCAAAATAGTGTAAGTATAAGCAATAAACCACAGAGTTGGGCACACAAGTCACAAGGTGAAGCGAATAATACACACGTGATATTGTAAGTCGTGTACGCGAATGACACGTCGATTATTTTTATTTTTTTTTTCATTTGTCGATATTCGTGCACACAACTTATTTACCTGAAGTCGTCTCAGTGTAGGTAAGTTTGAAAATGAAATCAATAGTACGTACCTACATTATACGCAACAGTTTTAATTAAATGCGTACAGGTAATCTGTAGTGCATGTTTTATTCACTTACGACACACACACACACACACACACACATCTAAGATAGTGTATACAATAAGTGCATATATTATTATAATATAAGCCTATTGTATTTTATATATGGAGACGAGTTGCCGGTTTTTTTTTCGTTCTCAAATTAGTTCTAGGCAGGTATTATGGGCAGTCGCATTGTTTTATCATATTATAATATTATACCTATGAGATCAATCCGGATTTCGCACGATCGGTATCTCGCTATTCATTAGATGGAAACACGACGCGCGCTTCTCAACGATGCGACTTCATAATAGCATTTATACCTAAGAGTGGCTATAGTAGGTTGGTAATAGGTATGTACATTATACGTCTCCGGAAGCCGTCGCTAATTGTCTGGGTACATCTTGTGGAAAAAATAATGAATAAATAACCGCACCGCGCAGTGGTAGTCGTAATTTCCTCGTATGCAAATTTAATATTTCACTGCTGCTGCTTGTCCGTTGGGATTTACATGGTCGTAGGTACCTCTATATGTTTGAAATGTTTGAATACTAGGCAGGTATTATGTATTATACGGGTAGTAGGTAGGTACTTATAGAGGCTGAGCTATCGGAATTTTACTAAATATTATATTATGCTTTTAAGCTATATACGTCCTATTGCGACCTTTTTATTGCTTGCTATAAATTCACCGGTCGAGTTTACATTCACTTGTTCCAATTTCCAACAATTCATCTTCTTATTTTCCATATTTTTCTTTATTAAATTCTAATAAAATGTTTTGATTTAAAAAATAAAAATATTAAATACTAAATTTACATTTTAACAATGGTATTATATATTTATTACATGTTTTATATGTATATGCTTGATTATTTAAATGTTGAAATTTACAATATTGTGTAGGTACATTGAACAATAATATAATAATATGTACAAATTAATGATAACAATACATTTGTTTAACACTTAAGAATTTTAGGTAGTATGTTAAACGCGTTCAATACGTTTTATACGCGTATAACAACAGTTAATGCGACAATGCAAATTAATTAGAATTTTGAGAAATTGTGTGATGTGATACAATTTTCAAATTAAAATAAACAATTTATTAAAACATTATATCATTTAGGCGACTATGACAAAAATACAAATTAAAAATGTAGTAGTCACGTACACGCTATATATATTAAGGATAAAAAAATGTACGATATACCTACCTACCAATGGTTATAACTTATTAGGTAGTAATAATAAATTACAAACGTTTAGAGAATACAATATCACTAATATTATAAATGTCACACTTATATTACCATATCTTTATGAGATTAAAATATAAAATGGGGGACGGCTGGCCGAGCGGACTAAGGCGTAGGTTGCGACGCACACCGACGCCGGTTCGATACCTCGGCCATAGGCTGCATTTTTCTTCGGGCAAGTCACGGTATCTGAAGAACAAGTGCCGCCATCCCCCACCCGGGCATGGCAGATACCAAATCTACCAACTATGCCAAATCAAAAATTCTGCCGAAACACACGCGTGTTCCCCCCTACCAACAAAAACCTACAAACAAAAAACAAAAAATAGAAAATAGCTGTCGGGTTCAAGATCAATAAAAAAAAAAAATATATACATAAAATGTTTGTTATTTTAGATTTTTAGCGGAGCGATGAATTCATATTATTATTTATTATAATATAAGCTTGTACCTTGTACAATACACGTGTACAAATGAAACATGTTGTTAGTAATCATAATATATAGTATGATGGAGCTTATTGCTTATATCTAAAAAATTGACTTTGCCACTGACCTGAAATGTCGCTGTACCACTAAAGGTTTGGTTATAGCGGTGAGGTTAGGTTTGTCCTCGAACAGAAAATGTAATTTAATATTTATTTAATGTTCATCGGTCTTTAATAGGCTTCGAGAACTGTGGGCGTGAACTTCGACCAAATTATTAGAGCCGGATTAAGCACGAAGCCAATATTATAAGATAATCCAAATATGCACGGTCTCGAAAGGGATATATATTATAGATACTGTTAATAGTCTTTCCACTAAATATTCATGTTTATTAATTCATATCTGCGCACGATAAATAATAATGGAAACACAATATTATTATTATGTTTAAAATATAATATGTGCTTCGTTTAGAGTAGTTGTCAATTATTGTCAACGTTTCAATAACGAAACATTTTAAACAATTTGTCATACACGTGCTAGGACATCATCATTACATAAACATTTTTTTTTTTTTTGTTATGGATTAAGACACATAAGATATACTCCTATTTCAAAATAAATTAATATGATACTGAATATAGTTTTAAACAAAAATTGTTTTTTTCCTTCACAAAATTGTTTTATAAAAATTTATTTTTAGGTAGGTAGTCGTATTTCTTAGGTAAGTACTGGATTTTTAAAAACCAAGCAATAGAAATTAGAAAATGTAGCTTTCTCAGGGTACAATAATATTATTAGGTATATAATATTATAGGTATCTATATATATATAAAGTTACATAACTTTAATTAGATTTCCCAATTATTTTATTTATTTTATTAACCAAAAACTCTAAGAATAAGCATTTATTCGGTTATTTCATAAATTTGATTTGCCACCACTCACCAGTTATATTGAAATAAACGAAGCTGTGGAATATTATATAAGTTACATTACTTTAAAGAAAACTGTGTGATGAAAGAATAAGAAACCAAAATGTTTTCAAAGTTTTAATTTTAAAGTAAATAATTATGTAAAAAATACTCAATAGAATTGAAGTAGGTAAAACAATATTTAAAAAATAAACGTAAGCGCATGAGCCATTGTCTGTGCTATTACTTATTATTCCAATGTAATAAAGAAAACAAAATAATAATTCTTTCTAAATAAATCTTGAAACTTGAAATTAAAATGTTATTTTGATTTAAAATTAAAATGTAAGTACATAATATTATACTGTAAAAATGAATTTTTTGGTGAGTTTCTTGAGTGAGAATAATTTATTGTTAATCAACATACCTACCTATGAATTATGATACTCACATAACTATATGCAAATTATTGATATGCTACGAAAGCAATTTGTTTTCTAAAACAATATTTTTGTAAATAATCAGTACGAATGCCGGAATGCCACACAGTTTAAACGTAAGAACATTATTATTTTGTCGTATAATATGACTGTAGACTGTAGATGTAGCTATTCTAAAGAATAAACTTATTTAATTTTTTAAATAAAATAATCATTTTTTCAGTTTAATTGCAAATTTCACAAACATATAATTATTGTCTATTTTACAACTATATATACATTGGTTCACATATTACAAAAACACATTTTTATCAACTATTATATTATTAAATATTACAGTTAAACAAATTACATAATTATTATAATATAGGTAACAAAATCGACGTTTTGGTGAGAATTCAATTCCTTCGAACAATGCCATGCCAATTATAAAATAATCAAAGGATAAATTATATATATTTACTACTGTACTGGGAAAGGTTTGAAGGAGGATAGATCTGCAGGTCGAGCTGAAGGAATTTGCGCGAAAATGTGTTGTAATACTTTTGGCTAGAGATCGTGAAAAAAGTCTCACGTTTTGGCTAAAGGCAATCCAAGCATATAAAAAAAATATCGAATGATAATATTGTGAAATAAATTTTGTATTCGGATTTTTAAATGAAGATAGAACTCTTGAAATGTAATCGCAAAACTATAGACAGTACAGCAATCTGCAAAATATAATATTAGGTAAGTACCTACCTACTACCTATAATATTTTAGTTCATGCGAATGCAACAATAAAATTGACCCCCAGTGCATCGATCTATATAAAATAATAAATAATGTATTAATTACAACAAAACAGATGCAGCTTGAATGGTTTAATATTTAAATCAGTGTTAAAAACACGAAATTGAAAAAATACGACTGTGTAGTTAGGTCGTAAGTCGTAACGACAAGTAATGAAAAGTAAAAATCTCGACAAGATGAATCCGTCGTCCTTGAGACTTGAGAGCGTGAATTATTTTTACGACTTCAGAAATTAAAGTAATAATAATAATGGACTTAACGAGTCTAATTAGTAATTTTTTAGCGCAAACTGCGAATAGGGGTTTGTGATTTTTGGAAAAGAAAAATATTATTTACTAAATTGAGCATAAAATATACTTATAATAGTATAGGTATTATTGTATAAGAGAAGAAAAGTCCTACGATCGGCATAACGAGAAAAGTATTGAATTCGGAAAGTTTTAAAAGGCGGCCGTTCGAACCTTATAAATTATAATAATATTTATACAAAATACATGCCGACTTTATAATGTTCGGAAAATATACGCTTCGTCTATATTATTTTAAATCGCCAGTCGAGACGATCAGTACGAGGCAGATTACGAGTCGTCCATAGGCGTACATTTGGGAGAGGCTTCTCCTCAAAATATTTCTTATCTCAATCTCGTTAAATAATAAACTATGTAAATAAGTGTTTATTTATTATTTTAATCCCTTACCCTAAATAATTGTAACCATATTTACGCCTATGGAGTGGTCGTACCTTAAATTATATTAAAATATAGTTATAAAGCGTTTTGCTACTCGCGAACCATACTGCAGCAGTCGTTGTTATGAAGCGACGGTAGCGACGAAGGCAAGCGATAGCAATAAGGTTGCAATCCACCACCGACACTGCAGCAGCGGCGCCGAAGAATTCGGAATCGTTGGTGAGGGAGTAGTGATGACGGTGGTGACGTTCGTCACTCCATAGCCCAGTGGACTGGCGATTTGCATCAACACCACGGACTCAGTGGTGGCCGTCAGAAACGTTGGGGCGTCGGTGGCTGTAACGACCGTGGTCTCGGACGTGGACGGCCGGACCTTCGTGGTCGTGGTAGAATAGGCTGCCGTTGTATCGGAAACGGTAGTGGAGGTAGTAGTGACAGTGGAGGCTGTAGTGGCGGTAGTAGTGACAGTGGAGGCTGTAGTGGCGGTAGTAGTGACAGTGGAGACGGTAGTGGCAGTGGCGTTAGTGAAAGGTACTTCCGTGACGGTGGCTGCTGGCACCAGGACGGTGATGGTGGCGGCAGGCACAGCGGTGCTGGCGTCCACGCGAGGTGCAATGGTCTTTTCCGGTTTCGGCGAATAGCGGCCACCGGGCATCTGCAGGGCGTCCGCGGTGGACGAATCGTAATCGTAATCGTAATCACCAGCGGCAGCGGCCGTCGCGTTCCACGCGGCCACCTCTTCGATCATGTACACCGAGTCGTCGGGCGGCTCTGTGGCCGTCTCGCCACCCTCAAAGGTGGTGGTGGCGCGTGCCGCCGCGACGGCCATCGCTGCGATGACGGCGACGATGATAACGGCGGAGGTGGCGGTCGTCGACGTCGTCTTCAGACGGTAATGATCACTTCCGTGGGATCGGCGCCGTGCGTCGGCCGTCATGATCGTTCGAACGGTGAGCGGCGATCAAATGCGGCAGATCGAGGTAACTGCAGCGGCCGGTATGTTGTGTACAATTGCGACAATTACGACATTATAACGCTAAAAATAAAATATAATATAATTAAAATTATAGCGACAACACAACGATAAAATAATATATAATATAACGATACCTATAGATAGTTATGTACCTATATCGTATAATGGTGTTACCTATACATGCGCCGATTGGCCCCGCCGCGCCGCCACGTTTATTTTTATAACTCCTGTGGCCCGGCGAGGACTGAGCCACGGCTGAACAACCTCGTTTAATGCCAAGTCTGTTTTCGCGAAACGGATTACGCTTTTCGCACATCTCGTTCGTAGCCGTCGTACCTAATAATATTACTAAACTGTGATGCGGCGCCGGTAACGATACCTAACCCTTACGGCCTTACACTTGGGCGTTTGACTGGTACGTATAGTAACTAGGTCCCCTCTCCAACCCGCGATAAGGAACTTCGTTCCAATAATTAATTATGCGTGTATTTTATGTGCCACCCGCCAGGGACAGCCGCGGCGAACAAAAACTTTCGTGTCGGCGTTTCGAAAACAGAGCCTTTTGTTTAACAATTATAATTTTGCACCACAACAGCATTAATAATTAATAATTACCATAATATTATTATTGTTGTACTTAATAGAATTAATATTAATGTATACAATGGTCGTCCTCACCGATGATAATTACAATTTAATACAATATTACGGAAATTTGGCAAATAAAATATATTAATCTTAATAATAATACTATTATTATCGATATCAATATATGTTATATTTATGTATATTATATATTTTAACATTTATGTATGAGTTAAGGATCGAAAATTGTTGCACTAAAATACTTATAAAATGTAAGTATTGAAATTGTCCGTAAAAAATATCCAAAATAGGGGGGGTACGGGTACCTACTTTATATCTAGGTACTAAAAAAAAAAATAGTTCTTACAAATTTAAAAAATAAATTACACTATTTAAAAACGAGATTATCAATTATCGTCAGTCAAGTATATGTGCTTGGGTGGATACAGTTAACTGAAGGGTTGGTCATAAAATGTTAAGTTTACATCAAAATGATATAAGTACAGATACATATAGCCTCTACAGCTACTGCAGGGGTCATCCTGGCTAGCCGCCCGAATTCACCCCTTCAAGAGGAAATAAATGGATCACCAAATTTAAATTTTTTAAACCATCTGAACCCTCGTAGAAACGAATTACCGATCCTTGAGCTACTAGAATGTGAAGAGGTAATTTTAAGCGCAATATTGGTAAACTGCGGTAAAAATGTGTAATACCTATACTTATAATACAAGAAGGTAGCAATAAAACAAAAAAAAAAAACAAAAATTGCACCGAAAAAATGATAAATTAATAGGTTTATAAATTATTATAATAAATAATAATATTGTAATATATAATTGATTTCTAGTTTATTATTGACAATAAGCTAGTTAAACATAAATAAAAACTAAAAATATGCAATGCGACAACTTCTGGGCTACATCCTACATAATAATAAATAATAATATTATATAAACTATATCGTCGCGGTCGTTGTCCTCGTACGGACGTCGCGATTGTCACATACCTATTATTATAATGTAGCAAACTCATATTGTGACTTATTACCTTTGCTGCGGCGTCATCGGCATTTGGACGGATGACAATTATCATTTTTTTTTTATTAATTGTTTACCTATAGTAAATAATAAATATTTCCTAGGTCTAAGCTAGACTACTCGCTACACGACTTCCATTCAGCGCAGATATGAACATAAAATAAATTGCACGATGTACCTACGCTGCAGTGGAGTGGCGAACTTGACATTTTTCAGAGTCGAGACTTATATTTCACCAGCCCTGCAGTACCAATAACTCAATAGAGGCGAATTCTCTGTCATATTTATAACTTCCTGTCGTAGCTATTACTAAAATACTATAGGTACAGTTATTATTCTTATAGCAAGTAGGTGATAATTAACTGAATTATCACTTAATAGCTTCCCCCGTGTGAATTTTTTTACAGCAAATCCTATTCTTATACACCAACTATAATATAACTAACATTTCCAAAATAAAATATTCCAAATAATCGCTTAGGGAGTAATAAGCTAAACCGATTCGTTCCTAAGTTTTAATGCGTATACCGCTACACAGAATTATTTAAAGAATCAGCCTTCTTAGCGCTCCTCGCTGCTAATGTCCGCATTAAACGCCGTAAAATAAAGACTTAAAAATGTCTTAATCAAAGATCGGAAGTGACCACCAGTAGCGTACGCAGGATTTTAGTTCGGTTAGGGTTTCACCTGAGTAAATAATTTACATTATTTTTTCCTAAATAGTATTTATGTAATTGGTTATAACAAATTATAATTAGTCTCAAATGTAGTCTACATTAAGAACACTCGAGTGTTCAATCTTGACACCTATGGTCATCTATAGAGCCACTTCGGGTCGTAATATGTGGTAATTATCGATGGACGTTGATACATGATGATACACCATACGACGGTTATGACGGATTTTTAGCTATGTTCTAAATCAGCCAAAAAACTGAAACTATGATTATCGACGTCTTTGTCATATTTAACAATTTATATTATATCTATTAAAAATGACCAACAATTGATCGACTTTATGTATTTAAATACCTAACTAAATGGTTTTATTTTTTTGTCAACGGAAGAAATTTCAGGGGGGGTCAGAACCCTACCCCTGCGTACGCCACTGGTGACCACACCGTAAAAAAAAACTAATAAAAAAAAAAAAAAAAATACTTTTATGAAAATACCATTAACTTAAGCATACAAAACACGAATTTTGAAGAAAAAAAAATCGAAAAACCGTTTGGGAACTAAACTAAATTTATGATAAACTTAAATTTGTATACTTTTGGATTTAAAACTCTATATTTTTATATAACCTAATATAAAAAAAAAAATAACAATTGTTAATCAATGTGCCAGAGTATTTAAACTGAACTTGGACAAGCTTCAAATCCGCCCCTGACCATAGGTGATATTGTGATAAAAAAAAACTATAAATAATTTTCTAATTTAACCCTTGAACATAACGTATAACTTTTATAGTTGTATACATTTCAATTTGTTTAACATGTCTCAAAGAATAAGTTTATTTTGCGAATATTATCAATTAAAATTTAACCGATAATATAAGAAAGTAATTTAATAAATTATATTTTTTTAATTTAAACAAACTTTGAGAGAAAATGGTTATTGAATAAATAGGGCTGTGAATTTGTAGAAGAGTGCGTTATTTTTTTAGCATACTGTAAATTGTAAAACACAAAATTTGAATTGGGTACTAAAAAGTCCTTTTCTAAACTAATTTTTTCTGAATATAAACATTATTGTAATTTTAATAAAACTTGAGAGAAAATGAACTCGATAATGATTTTCTTAATCGGTTTTTTTTACTCATTAGGTAAGTAGTATACTAGTATAGGTACTCATTAGTCACTATAAAATGTAATGATAATGGCAATCATTATGTCATGTACTTAATGTAAAACTTTATAAAAATATTAAAATAACTTTTAAGTAATTAGGTATTCATTATTAATTATAACATTAGTTAAAAATAAAAATGCATGAGCCAAAGAAATAATATTGTTTATTTACATTAATAATTGGCATAGATTTTATAATAACATTGTCAGTTAGGTAACATTTTTTGAATTATATACAAAATTTAAATGAACTTAAAATAAAATTAACCTTAAATATTTAACTGAATCTATTGATATTTTGGCCAAAAATTTTGGATACTGTAAATTTACAAAATTTATGTGGCAGTCAAATAAGTAATTTTTATTATAAAATTATATGACATTATAATATATGTACATGTTTTATTAAAATAAATCTATATTATATACAATGATAGATGTAATGGAAAAAGTCACCATTGCAATCAGCTATCTTTCAACCATGGCTTGATAAACAAAAAGTGATTTTGTAGCATCCTAAAAAAATATAAATATATTATTAATAAATATTTAAAATAATTTAGTTCTATAATTAAATTAAATTATTAATAAATAATTATGACCATTACTATTTTCAATTTTAAAAGACAGAAAATAGTTTAATAACAAAGAATATGACTCAGCTCTTCATGTATTATTAAAAAGTATTGTGTAAGACTGTACAGTGCTTTAAAACATAATTACCAAAATTAGTATTTATAATTTATTTAATAAAGACTAATAATTAAATTAAACTAAAAAATATTTGAATTAATTCTGATAATCTATAATTGACTGACACTATCTATACTCTGTTCAAGTTAAAAAACGTAGTTAGCGGCCGACTTGTGCACAGGGCCATAGTAATTGTAGTATTATTTAAGAATTAATATAGATAATTATTGATGAAAAAAATTTTAAATATTTCAGAAACGTAAATTGTTTATTTAGAAAGCCAAGTAATAAATTAGTATTAAAATGTTTTGCCACCCACTTCATAATAGGGTATAAATTAAATTGATCTAATGATAAATTATCAATATTAAACTATCCTAATAAATAAATGGGGACTTATTCATAGGTGCAAATAGGACTGAAGGTAGCAGCACTTCTAAAAATCTCCCCCTCCTGAAAACTGATAAGATGATGTAAAATGTTTACCATAAATACGATATTTCTCTGATTTCATCAAAATATCATAGCCTCCTCCCTAAAAATGTGGAGCATATTTTTACATAATATGGACTTAATGAAAACTAGTTTCAAATATCTAATAAATTAATACATTTTTAGCAAACTAGATTTAAGAATACTCTTCTTCATCATCAAAAGATAGAACTAATTTTTCTGTTCGTTTTTTCTTTTTGTTCACTCTATGCTTTTCTTCAGATTGTGGTGTAGTTTTAGCTGGGCGTTTGAAGATTATACGCTTAGATAAATCTGCTGGTTTACTGTTTTCTTCTGAAAAATATATCCATTATGTATTTAAATAATTTTGAATATTTACTATTTAGATTTTACAGATATCCAAATGAAAAATAATATATCAACTATATAAGCATGATATACATATTATACAAATGTATATATTTTAATCAAGGATATAAGTAACTATTAAAAATATACATTTTCAATTTTGTATGTTTTAAATATTTTATACCTTTTTCTTTGGCTAATGTCTCCTTGGATGCTTCTTCGGAAGTTAAATCACCTTCAGTTAATACAACCACAGTAGGGTTGTCATCATCATATGATTCGTCATCTTCATAACTTGGAAGTTCAATTTTCTAAAAACAAATAAAATATGACATTGTTAAAATATTTTAAGTACCTATATTATGTAAATTATTATCTTACATAATATTAACTATAGTTGTTATGTAATCTATTTCAATAAATCTTGAACTTTATATAAACGCTATAAAATGACGAATATAATTTTGAGGAGCTTATCTATTTGCATAATATGTATTATATGGCTGTATCGAATTTTTTTTTAAAGAATTTTAGATTCATTATTTTCAGAAATATTCAAAATAAATAGTAAATTCTGTAATTCAAGGGTATTTATAATTAATAGTATTTTTATTTTTTTCATGTTTAGTGGCTGTTTAGGCCTATAGATGCATACACACTTCCTTCCATCTCTCTCTGCTACCTCTCTATAGTGTTCAACTCCTAGCATTGTTAGGTCCTTTGAGACTTTATCGAACCATAGTTGTTTAGGTTTGCCTAAGGGCCTTTTTCCTCGTGGCTTCCAACTTAGAACTTCCTTTTCAATCATGTAAGACCTTAGTATGTGACCAAGCCAGCTTAGTCTTTTGGCTCTGATTACTCCAATTCTATTTGGTTCTCCAAAGGCATTGGATATTTCTTTGTTTGACCTCATACATTTGTGTTAAATTATTTAAATATTTTATAAATATTATCTTCCTTAGAAATTTTCTTTCTACTATAGGTAGTCAGTTTTTTCTCGTCCTCTAGCGTTATTGACCATGTTTTGCAGGCATATTATGTTCTAGATGTTTCTATAAAACTTCTCTATTAAGTCATAAGCTTGTCTAAAATCCACAAACAGTAGATGTAACTTCTTATTGAATTAATAGTAATCTATCAGTTGCTTGAGCGTGCAGTGGCGTGGCGAACTAAAAATTTTCCAAGTTACAAACATCCCAAGTATTAACACATAATAATGTATTAATATAATATAACTAATTATATTTCAGATCGTTATTAACTACCTATTGAGTATATCATATTACATTTACATGGGGACCGGCTACCACCCACCCTTCTGTTTAAGAAAAATCTCAGAGGTGATTGCCTCTGAAATTACCGTTCACCACGCCACTGTGAGCGTGAATATATGATTGATAGTTCTTCCCACTAAGAAGCCACTTTGGTACTCTCCTATAATATCTACTGCATATGTTCTTAGGCGGTTAAGAATAATGTTTATAAGGTTTATTATACAAAAAATTGTTCTATAAAAATACACTTCATTATAAACTTTGAAATATTAAATTTTAAGCAATAAATAATAATAATAATAGGTACCCACTTTTGTATCAACTGAAGGTCCTTCCTTATAGTTGGCTTCTTGTTTTAATTTCGTCAAAAATGATGGTTCTCGTGGTTTGATATACGAAATTTTATTTCTTTTTGACATTTCAAAACTGATTTTGTTAATACAAGAAAATGTATGATGTAGGTACTCAATCTCCTTATCTTGAGTACAAATTGTTCCTAAATATATTGTTGATAAGTATATTGAATTTTCCAATTCAAAAACGTGTAAAAAATTATAAACCAAGAACCACGACCTACCAAAGTACAGAACACAATATTAAGTAGGTACAAATATTCTGTTAATAATTTATTACTCTAGTTAAATTATGAAACGTATGTAGTAACAGTTAAATAATAAATATTTTATCTAAAATTGTTTATTAAAATTTAAGTACATAACCATATAGTGAATCAAACAATGATATAATACACTAGTCACTATAACATTTACAATACTAACTACTGTATTACAAATTACTGTACCTATAAAACTTAAAATTAATAAAATAACTGACTCTGAATAGGCAGTTAATATGTATAAATGTATAATATAGTAATCTTATTAATTAAGCAGGCCTTTAGTTTTTATCACTTATCACAGATACACTGTGGATATAAAGTATCAAAGTCCGTGGTTGTTATCACGATTACAAGATATTATATTTAATATTATACAAGAAATTACCAACCAAACGGCCGTGTTTTTTGCGTCAATTTGGAAATTTGATAGACCGGTTTAAAATTATCCCACATTATCCCGGTGCGGGATAATGAACCATGTAAATGCCAAATGGTTCAAACATCCCTGTGCATTATTCACACCGGCTTAGTCTAGCGAATTTCTATTATCGTACCCTTGAAATATACGGGAGTGGTGTCACCTTATACCACAGATTTCTATAATATTGTTGTTTTTCGTTTAGTGAAGAACTAAAATAGAATAATATTGTTCTATGATAGAAGCATAGGTATGATTACATGAAACCGGTTTTCAACGGGGTTTGCGCATCTCCCCACTATTCTACACACAAAGCCATTGCTCATAGTTCATCGCATTTCATTGGTCGGCAATATCATTAGGGAAACGGAGAACCACGCGATAAACGTGATAAAGATGGTATGCGACATGCGTATCCCAAAGTGCTGATCATACAATATAATATCATAGAACAATGCATATTATTTATGTAATTATGTGTACTGTGTAGTCATGAATGTCCGTGACATATCTTCTCTACGTGACTACATCGTAACATTATAAGATCATAGTTGTAACGTGTGAGTTTTGTTCAGAAAATCCAAGCAGCGAAAAGCGGAAAAGATATTATATCTTATTGTAGGTAGGTAGTTATTTACTTGCATGATAGAAATAAATTACTTCTATCTTGGGTAGATGTTTACTATTAATACGAGCAGACGAAAAACCTTATCGACAACCAGAAACCACTGCAGTCTGCAATGGTCGGCGGTTGAACATTGTACTTTATTCTGTGGTTGTACCTCCTTGTTCTTATTTTTGTTTTATGATTTTTTAGACTTTTCCGTGATACATTGCAGTTTTTGTTGTGCTCTCTTGTTTTTCCATACATGATTGGCTAATTTGTGAGTAAGTATTCCAACTGTTTGGTAGTTTCAAATTGTTGAAAACCTTATATTTATCATTTTATCTTGAGTTCTTGTCGTAATTGTTAAATATGTATGTCGAACACTCAAACAAATGCGCACAATTAATATTTATGTCGTTATTAATTTAGTACACTTAAAAATGGCTGGTTATGTCGATCAGTTGTCTGATGCGATGGGTGCTCTGTCCTTCGACAATGACCACTGGAATGAACTCGGATTAGACAACAGTATTCGGACACAGCTAAGAAAAATCGAAAATGAATTTGAATCTATTTTCTCTTGGGACATCCAAAAATTAACAGGTATCAATCAAAATCTTATGTTGAACCTCATTGATAAGATTCGTGAAAAACAAGAAATGATCATAGACAAGGATGATGAATTCAATTTGAATAGGTAACTGTCAGAGATTTATTTATGTAAAACTTAATTTCTCTGTTTTATTAATATAAAAAAAAACACAGATATCAGAATACAATTTAGGTTCACACATAGGGAGTAAAATTAATTAATTTTTCTATGGGCTTACATAGGTCTAGATTAGTTTTATTATAAACCACTGTGAATGATTTGTTTTAAGTATGTAACATAGAAAAACCGTAATATTTTATAAATCAAACAGTTTGTAAACTATGTCATAGCGAAGTGGGTTATTGAAACGCGGCCACTCCAAGTGATTAGAAGCGATTATATGACAGATGACAAAAATATGATAGTAAACTAAATATTATTTTCATGATAAACTTTTTTATTTGTCTTAGATTTATGACTTGTGAGCCCTTATTAGATTTTTGGTGTATGGGTAGTATAGTAGCTTGCCTCTAAAAAATTTTAAGTTCGCCATGCAACTGTATGCACTTGCATAATTATAAATATAAATGTAGATAAAATATCTAGAGTAAAACTATTTTATTTTTTAGATTTTACTTGCAATTAGTAGCTAGTTATGAACTTTATAATAGCAAAAATTATCATGAATCATATTTGGAGATTGAAAGCGTTCTTAAATTTATGGAAACCTGTAAATTTGATGAATCAAATGAACAGTACTCTGATGCTTACTACCATATAGCTCGTGCTACCAATGCTTATATTGCATTAACATTGAAAATTGATTCAGAAAAGGTAAATTTGAATTACTTATTGTTTAATTTTAAAAGTATAGGGTAACCTATTATAAGTAAGTTCTTCATTCATGATTATAATAACCAATAACCATCATCAGTATCATATATATTATATATTCATACAAAAAGTCTATGGCTTATAAATACAATGTAAATAACCTGGTAAATAATAAAATGTTTTAAATATTTATATACGTACAAAAAGTCTATAGCTTATTAACAGGGGCGGACTTGGAGGTAAACAGCCCAGTATTCTATAAAACTAAACGGCCCAAGCCCCTTTATAACAGCTTCTTTATGAATACCTACTTTTTTGGGTATAAATTATAAATAGACAATAGCCAATAGGTAGGTTATATTAATTATTATATATTTTATAAGAATCATAAATGTATAATCCTTTTGATATTTTTGATGTTTGTTTACTATTGTTTTTATCATTTATTTTATAGTCACCATTCATACTCGTATTAAACCAAAATCATCTTCATCAGTTTCAGAATCGTCGTATTATTTTATTATTATTCATTACTTTTAATATAAACTTTATATAAATGTTTTCTGTTCTCTTTCTCGACAAACAAACCTACAGAATTTTTATAAATATTTGCAAATGGTTCAATGATTGTAGTTTAGCAATAACTTTCTGGCGGTTGATGTACCAACCAAATCAGATACAGTGTTAAAAAATTTTTGTGGATAAAACCTATTTTTTAAAATTGTAATTCAATATAATATAGGTACAACATATACCTAATAATTAATAATTATTATTACTATAAACTTATGGTTCGACTATGAAGTTATTTTAGCATTGTACCAACCAATGTGGTTTTGAAACTGTTCTTTTTTTAAAAATAAATTTATTAGTAATATCGTCAAATGTTCAAAATTTCAAATGCCCCGGCAGCCCGGCCCACACATAAGCCGGCCACGAGCACGGCACATGAGCACACCTGGCCAGTCCGCCTCTGCTTATTAATACAATGTAAATAACCTGGTAAATAATAAAAAAATTTAAATATTCATATACCTACCAATTATTTTTACATTTTTAAAAAGTAATCTGCTGAAACAATTAGTATTTTACTTATATGTCAATGTAATTAATTTAAAGATCAAGTGTTGAAGAAATGTAAAGACTATTATGCTATCTATTAAACTGCATAAGACCATGATAAACTAATTAAAATAAGGCCAGTATAACTCTGATTAGGACTAACTAGATTTAATTAAATATTATAATTTTTTTCTATACATATTACCTATGTTATGATATAATTAAATATATAACTGTAATAATATATTAAATTATATAAAAGAAAAAATGAACTTATATTGTATAATATGTCACTTTTGATATCGTTTTGGACCCTTCTGAGTTCTGTATTCCATACAAAATTATTAAAATAAATCTAAACTTTTAACTCTCTTTGAATAAAAATAATTCATGCTCTTCCATAGGGTCTAATGTATTCTACACATAGACTCACACATTACTACTGTATCTGATAGTATAAAACCATTTATCATAACCCCTTTTATTCAAAAGTTAGATTTAGATTCACTCACTAGAAATCTTCTGAGTTATTTTAACTATTGGTGCAAAAAGATCTGAATTCAAAATTATTAGCGTCATACTGTTATCTATGTATGTTTTCTTTTGTCTATCTTTCATGTTTTATTATTAATAATTTTTATAATAATATATTAATGATTAAACCATACTATATTAGGTATGTTGATGATTAAAGATTTGCACCTGAATGATTTATTTTGGGTTTGGGTGTTGGAATGAAATCGGGATTTCACAGTAAAATTTTATATACATTCAAAAATACCTATGTTATTCAACAATTCATGCTGGAATACCAAAGCCAATGCAATTACCTAGATAATCAGATTTTAATTTTAATTTCGGTATTATCAAATATTAACAATAAATATAATAATAATATTACATTAACAACTAATAATCTAATTAATATCATCATGAAATATCATTACATATCTAAATGTAGAAAAAATAAGGTGATTAGGAACTTGGAACCATTTTATGGCAGGTAATTTTTTTTTATAAATATATATATCTAATACATTATATTATCATCATGGTCAAATATGTGTGAGTTATTTGGATTACCAAAAGAAAAAAAATCATTCATCGCTATACATATTACTTGATAAAACTTAAGCTTCAACAACGGGTAAACACAAAACTATCACTAACCTTATACTAATATTATAAGCCTAACTTAGTATAAGCATAGAACAGTAGGTATAGCAATGGTGTATATTAGTGATCAAATATAGCCTATATATTTTTTGGCATAAATCTAGTTTAGGG